ATGCTAAAGGAGACCTGAGTTATAATTAGTAGATAGCTCCTGATTATTGAGATGGTGAATGCTGAAACAAGCTAGCTAGGGGGACCGCAGAAAACATTTAAAGATCAGTAAATCTTCCTAAGAAGAAGAGCCCATTATACTAAGTGACAAAAGCAGAGGACAGCCTCCATGACCTGTGTTAGTTCCCTCCACCTCAGAGATGAGTCTGTCTGCCTATTATCCTGTGAGTCTAGTAGACTGTCATTGCATGAATCCATAAGTCTGTGATTCTATGACCTTGTATCCAAGGATATAAATGGGAGGGAGGTTCTGGGAACTTCTGGGGATAACCCCATGACTCATTTTGGCACTGGCACCAATCACCTGATTTCTCCACGCCTTACCTCCCTGGCCTATGATATGGGCGGGGCACAACCCACCCACCCGCTTGGGTGGCACATGGATTTAATATTTCTCACCAGAGATGCTGGTGCTGCCTATTGATGTCAAACCCATTAATGATAACTTGACCCAGAGGGCAGGAAGTGAGCCAATCAGAGCTCACAGATGGCACAAGATGGCTAAAAGCAAGACTGATGGCACTCACTACATGAGGACAGAGGCTGCTCCTGGCTGTGGTATCCATGTAAAGCATCCTTTTTGCACATACATTTATGCATCTGTTTAGCTAGTGTTTCCCGAGTCCTGTGATGATATATAGTTAATTGTCCACAGTTACTAGCACATGAAAATTATAATCCAGGGAGAATAACTACACAAACATCTAGGTTGTGAGTATATATATATATATATATATATATATATATATATATATATATATATAGTCTTTCACAGAACAGACCTCTGCAGTCGTAAAACTTCATAGCCATAAAGGACCTCACCTAAGCTCTATATTTTGGAGACTATGAGAAAAAGCCTAGGAAAGACAGAGTGTCTGGAAATAATAGTCCAGGGCAGAATCAGAACAGGTTCTGACAGAATCAGAACAGGTCTTCCTCTTTGTGCCCTGAAAGTGTCTCTCCTGTTTTACGGACATGCCCTAAAACAACTGGCTTTCTGGGGCATTTTGTATGCTGTGAAGCAGGTCTGTCCCATCCTACATAAAATACAGAGATGACCAAAAAGTGTGGTTCCTAAAACATCACAGATCTTAATGCCAGAAGCAGTATGTTGTGGTGGGAAAACAATACAAATTTGAAATCTCTTACACATGGGTTCACATTCTATCTCTCTTTTAACTACGTGGGCTCACAAAGGTTGTTTGTTTGCTACTCTTTTTTATTTATTTGGGGCACTATTGCAAAGACTAACTTTGATGAACTATGTGACATGTCTGGTTGCAATAAGAACTTGTTCCTTTCCCCTTATCTCCACAGAGCTCCAGACCTAGATAACAACTGAGGCAGGACACTTAGGATAGAAGGGTTGGAATGGCTGGACCAACATCCCTCCTCTCCTACCCATCCGTATGGATGACAGACTTGTAGGCTTTAGAGAGGAAACTGTGGAGTATGACAAACCCATTGGGCAGAGAGGAATGACAGGAGGAAGCAACACCCTTTCCAAGCCGGGGAAAAACCAACCTTTCTTGTTTTCTCCAAATTGTTCAAGGGCAGACCTTAAGACTTGGCTTGGGATGGAGAAGGATATGCAAGCTAGTGGGACTTTGCATTTTCTTTGCCTAGGAAATCTGAGTGTTTAAAATTTATTCGGTCCCAAGGAATTGAGAATCTATCCTAGAAAAATTTAGGAAACTCTTTTACCTAAGGGGCCAGAGAGGCCTGTTGGAGTTTTGACTAGATGATTCAAGGTTGTGACATTTAGAACAATTACTAGGCTTAGGCTCAAGAGAAGCTCCTATAATGAATAACCCACCAAGGCTCAGTGAGAAGAGTATAGGTTCTGGAACTGCACAGGTTCATTTTTCAATGATGTTCTGTTACCTACCAATAAAGATGACATCCATTGGTGAAACAGTTAGACCTCTAGATCTCAGTTTCTTCTTTAAAAATGGGACAAGGGCTGGGGATTTAGCTCAGCAGCAAAAGCGCCTGCCTGGCAAGTGCAACATCGTGAGTTCGGTTCCTGGTACCGGAGA